ATTGGAACTCTAATGAATAAAAGAATGTGGTTAGTTTATATGTAAATGCATGTCTTATCTGATAGGTTTAATGTTGTTATTTTGAGGGCGTTACACAACACAAAATAACCCCAATACAATTCGCATAACACACAACAAGATTCAACACAACCATTTCAACACAAAGCTCATATCATCCATATCATTAGTAATTTCTTTTCCCCAAGTTTGGTTTCATATTATGATATAATTTAAAATATCAATATTATGAGTTCAATCGTAACTTTTACATAAATTTCTCAAATTCTTTAAAATTTCAATTAAACTTCTACATGTGTAATTTAACGCTTCAATTTCATGATTCTACTATCAATTTAAGCAAAACCATGATCTATCTTCATAGACCCGATTTTTAAGAGAAATTAAAACTTTTCACAAAACACCTTTTATTCTAACCCTTGTATTGCTTTTACACCCAAACTCATAACCCAAGACCATAACCCAACAAGTAAAACCCAACTCTTCAAACCTAAACCCCCAATCTCATGGTTACCCACAATATGCATAACAATATAAACCTTGTAATTAGGGGTTAAATTATTATCTTTCCCAGCTGGGTAGCTTAGTGTATTCAATCTGTTAATTGTGTAGGGTTGGCGACTGGGGAGGCACGCTCTAGCATACTGTAGCCCAAACGCTTTGAGTAACGATTGTGTAAAGATATGTTCACAAATGATTATTTTCTGAACAACTGAACTGTACTGTTTTCTGAACTGATTACTGTTAACTGAATGAATGTATGTCCTATATTCTGAACTGTATTGTGGCATCCTTAGCACCTACTGTTTACTGTTACTGTGACAGAAATCTCTGTCGGTTCCCTTGTTGGAACCACTACTGTTTACTGACTGATGGTCATCATTACTGTTCGGTCTTTTAAGACCTACTGTTACTGTTATGCTAATGGATGTACCACATATGACTGTTTACTGTACTGAGCAACTGAAATACTGATTGAAATGAACTGTTTTCATACTGTAAGGACATTCATTCTAAACCCCTTTACGCTTTATGTTATTCACTGGGCTTTAGCTCACTGCTTATATATATATGTAGGTGTTCAGGCACCAGACCGCAGCTAGGAGCGTCAGGGTTACTTCAGTTTTGTCAAGCCAGCCTTTGTGCCTCACTGCGAGGTTCCGAGCCTATTGCGTTGAGGCTTAGGGGTGTTTTACACTTACCCCTTCTGTACTGGTTTACTGTACTGTTACACTGTTTTGTGTAGACTGACTGTTCACTGTACTGCTACCTAGGGTTGAGTCCCTAGTTTGAATGAATGTAAATATTGTACATACTGTTCTGTACCGTTTTTGTATGAATGCATGAAAAATCTTTTTGGCATGCAGACTGTCACAGCTCATTGGACATTGTTTAACTACTGTATTGGCTTCCGCCAGGCCCTGTACTCTATTTTACTGTATTACTGTTCTGTAGGCCTTCGGTAATCTCAGATTACTAGCCGGTTACGGTGCTAAACCCATAGGGCCGGGTTTGGGTCGTGACAGTTAGTTAATTTGTTATTTTGCTGAAATTAAGGCAATGTTCAATACTATATCTCTCTCTTTCCTATTTGAATAAACATTGCCCTAATCTCTCACTTTCCATCTCTGATCTCTCTCTTTCCTATTTGGAAACATTACCCTGATCCTATTTGAATGTTTAATACTATATCTGAAAATATGTATCTTGCTGAAATTAGGGCAATGTTCAATAAAAGGGCCTTTTGTCATGATGATTATCTTGACATTAATTTCTTGCTGAAAATATGTATCTTGTCATGACATTATTATCTTGTTGAATGATGAAAATATGTATCTTGCTGAAAGTAGTTTGATGAGTGCTATTCCTCAATCTGAAAATAAATGTGGCTAGGATTAACCAATTTCTTCATGTGCTATTACTCTGTGTGGACTATTGGAGATCAATTACAGGGCATCTTGTTTGGTGAATAGAAGACCTATTCTGAGAAGGATCTCATTTTCTTACAGTTTTATTCAAGTCTCTTTTGCTTGTTAATTTAACATGACACTAGTTTATGGAGGTAAATAGTTTATTAATCATTATATTCCCTACTCTTCAATTTTTGGTTGGCATTGGCAATGAAACCTAGACAGAATTATGAAGGTGAAATTACTTGTGCTTTTATGGAATTGTGTTGAGAATTTAAAGTTCAATCATGTCATACATTGAGTTTATTTTTTGCATACTCAAAATATGTTCTCTTTTCATATGGTTTCTTAATTTCTCATATTTTTTCTGTAATCTTTATTCACCAAAATAGATATATACACCAAAATTTCTCAAAGTTATATATACATCTAACTATGGCTGTTTAGTTAGATAGGTAATTGAGAAATCTGAAATAGCTCCTCAATCTGAAATCTGAAGTAGATAGGTAAATTCTGAAATTGCCAATTGACAGTGTCGAATCTAAAATCTGAAATTAAGCATGAACTTGAGGTAATGTATATGTTGTTAAATCAAATTTCTGAAATTGAAATTTGTTGAATCAAATTTCTGAAAAGTTTGTATCAGTCAAAGAAAACATTGTGAGAAAAAAGTGAAAGTAAGGATAGGAAACTGTGCCCCCAAACACTCATTTGAATAGCACAACTGTGAAGAAAAGAATCTGGCATTCCCACTCTAGATAGAGATTCTGTGGATGTACAGATAATAACATCTAAATTTTTTCAAGTTTTGAAACATTTCCAGATAATTAAGATTTCATGCAATTGTTTGAACTTTGTTATAGCTGTGTTAAGAATACAGAGAAATTTTACAAAATGAAATATGAATGAGAGGTGAAGGAGTAATCTATGAAATCTTTCTGTATATTTTCATTTATGCCTTTGATATTGATATGCAATATACCATTAGTTTTAGATAGAATAGTGCACCACAAAAATAAAATCTCAAACTAAAAAAATTAACATTAAGTTTTGTTTAATGCTTAAACATGTATAATTCTAATGGAATTAGGCAAATAAAATGTTAATTACTTATGGGCAACACAATAATTGTTGAATTAAAGAAATTTGGTGCCTATAAGAAATCTGATCACATGTTGCAAGTATATTAGTATAATGGGAATGCCACTTGGTGTAAATTACACTAAATTTCTTTCCTTCAAGAATGTGAGCTTATGAAAAGGAATGACAGTAGAGGAAGTATTTTGATTAAGAAAAATGTTATACAAATTATTTTTATTCACTAGTTTAATGAGGATAACTTGTTATTGCAGATGTCAAGTTCAACTGTCAACGCCTGTAGCTCAGATCGGTTGATGTACTTCAACAAAAATTGTCCTACATGTAAGAAAAAGGCCATGATTCAAATTTCTGAGACCGATCGAAACAAAAACAAGTTATTCTACTCTTGTAATGGTTGTGGTCTTTTCATTGGATGGTGTGTGCCTATGAATTCACAATGTAGAGATCAAGAAATTCCAAGACAAGTAGAAAGAGAACTGCTAAGATCTATGACGGAACAAGTTCGAGCTATGACCGAACAACAACAATCTATGATGGAACAACTTGGAGTTATGATCGAACAACAAAGATCTATGACGGAACAATTTACCTTTGTTAGTGCAAAGATGCAAAAATTAGAATTTTTTATGTTTGTCTTGCTTGTAATTGGTGTGTTATTACTTATGAAGATGTAATGCTACTTAGAAGTAGAATTAGAAGTAGATTGAACTATGTTTTGTTGTGGAATGAAATATGTATTGTTGAATATGTTTTGTGGAATGGAATATGTTTTGTTGTGAATTGTTGAATTTTTGAGTGGAATGGAAATGAATTGTTGAATTGTTGAATGAAGATGTGGTATTATGGAATTGTTGTGGAATGCAGATGTTGTAGAATTGAAACAGGTTTTAAACCATGACAGATTTGACAGATTTTAAACCATGACAGATTTGAAACAGGTTTGGAATGAAGACAGGTTTTTTACAGGTTTGGAATGAAGACAGGTTTGGAACGAAGACAGATTTTAAACCATGACAGATTTGGAATGAAGACAGGTTTTTTACAGACAGGTTTTTTTACAGATTTTAGCATGAACCAGCACAGTTTGTGCATGACGCATGACAGATTTTTTTAGACAGGTTTTTTAACAGATTTTTTACAGATTTGAGCATGAACCATGACAGTTTCACCATGAACCATGATAGATTTTGGCAGTTTGGCAGGTTGAACCATGAACTTAAAAAATAGATTTTTAAATAATAGAAAATAACATGACCTTAAAAATCAGATTTAATTTTGAACTTAATTTTCAAAATAGAAAATTAAAAAACTGATTTTCAGATTTTCAAAGACAGATTTTTAAAGACAGTTTGGTAGGTTGAACCATGAACTTAAAAAATCAGATTTTGGCTCAAATACTGTCAAAATAGCAAACTGAAAAACAGATTTTTCTTACAGATTTCTTAAACCAACATCTGTCAACAAAGATTTTGCATGAACTCTCAAAAAATCATGCTCAAACACTGTCAAAATGCTCAAATACTGTCAAAATAGCAAAATGAAACAGATTTTTTTACAATTTTTTTTTAAACCATCAACTATGAACTGAAAATGCTGAAAGACAGATTGTCAAAATAAACCATAAACTCAAACAACAATCTTGCATAACCAATAGAGTGAGACTTAATAATAACCAATCTTACAAAGTCATACACAACATTTTCAGTACACATGTAACATGGGACTTAACATAATAAGTTTCAATCTCAAAAACAAAATGTCAATGTTCAATAAACTAGTCAAACATTTCTATAATCTCCATCATTCATTCCCGATTTGCATGCATTAGAACCCGATGGGGTTAGAGATCCAAAGCCAAACATTTGAGTTGGAGCACTCATTAAACTTCTCGGTGTGCCGCTTACAAAGTCCGATGGCATAAGAGATGTGGCTCTAATAGCATTTACGACCTGTCATAATTGAAGTAAAAAAATGCATGTTACAAAATATTTGTAAATGAAAACAAAAAATTGATGTAAAGTCGTCTTATGAACACATACCGGTGCATACACACTATTTTGCATGCCAACCATATAAGGATAATATGATGTATAAGCTTGAGCTTGAGCTTGGACTTGAGCTTGAGCTTCAAATTGAAGCACCTTAGCAGCCTATATTGGTTCAAGAGTTTGCAAAAATGTATTTCAAACGAGTTTGTTAAAAAAATAAAAAACAAGTTTAATTAAATATACAATTTACCTTTGCTTTTGTTTGTTTTTTTCCCGTTGCCTTGAACCGATTCACTATTTGATCTACTTTGGCAACCTTTCGTTTCGTTACTGGACGGCCTCTTCGCCGAACAACCAAAGGACTAACCACCTTCCTCATACTAGCACCCGATGTACAACCGGTGGCAATTGGACTTTTTGTAGAAGATGGTATCCTATTAGTAGAAGGTGGTAAATTACTCCCATCACCCGATTCATCGTGCATGACTCTATCCTTCATTTCATCCAACCCAAGGTCTATAATTTTAATTTTCCCTTCTGAATTACCAGCAAGTTGTATAATGGCGATCAATTTCTTGTTCATCCTCTCATAACAACTTGTATTGAAATCATCTCCAAAGCCAATGTACGTGGTTTTGATGCATGTGTAATCTTGAACCAAATCTTTCCTCCAACGTGGCAAAATGTACTTACTTGGCACCTCGTTTATGCACCTTCTCACAAGCACCGCGAGTGAGTGAGCACACATAATGCCTCTAAACTGAAACAACTGACACATACATTGAACTTCACATTCAATTGAATTAAAATACACAACAAAGTTCACATGTTTCATCTTGTCACAAACTACCATCGCTTCTTGGACATTATATGTACAAATTGCTCCCTCCTCTTTGACAATCAAGGCTTGACAGTACACTAATCTCTTCAACTCTCCTTGAACTTCTTTGAATTTTGCATTGGTGTAGGCTTGTTGAAATTGCTTCTCAAAGCTATATATAGTTAGACAATCAAACAATTTGTGTCGAGACTTGAAGTCTGATTTCTTCTCTTTCTCTACCTTACTTCTCAACGCATTGTCATATTGTTCAACAAATTGTTTTAATGCAGTCTTCGGGTTGACATATCCATCAAAAAATGCATTCATGCTTTCACTTCGTTGTGTTGTTGACATGCCAGCCCAAAAAAAATCTTTAACATATACAGGAACCCATCAATGCCGCTCATGATATAGTACCCTCAATCACTCATTATCATAAAGATTGAATTTGGTAAGCATTTCTTTCCATTTTTCCTCAAATTCATCTCTTGTCAAACAATCGTAAATTGCATTTTGCATAGCCAACTTTATGGGTTCATTTTAAGCATATCCTTTCAACTTTTCCGGTATTTTCTTCATTACATGCCATAAGCACCATCGATGCCGGGCCTGTGGAAAGACAATTTCTATAGCATTTTGCATAGCTCTACACTGATCAGTTATGATAGCTTTTGGAGGTTTATTTGACATGCAACTTAACCACGACTTGAATAGCCAAACAAATGTGTCGGTGTCTTCACTTAACAATCCACAACCAAGCAAAATAGATTGTCCATGGTGATTGACTCCTACAAATGGAGCAAATGGCATGTCATATTTGTTCGTCAGATAAGTTGTGTCAAATGAAACAACATCTCCAAATTATTCATACATAGCCCAACTCCTTGCATCAGCCCAAAACAAGTTTCTAATGCTAAACTCCTCATCAACATCAATCACATAAAAGAATTTCTCACTATATGCTTGCATCCTCATAAAATAACTTTGAAGTGATTCGGCATCACCTTCACCAAGCCTTCATCTTCTAGCTCTATTAATGCAATTCCTTGCATCTCGCTCATCAAATGTCAATGACTCGTATCCCCCCGCTTCAACAACCATTGAATGATAGTTCCTAGACACCCCAATCCCTGCTTGATCATTGATTTCTAATCTTCTCCTCACAGGAGTACGAATTTTCTTATTCATTGCAAAATGACGAGAGTCGGTGGGAATCAAATCATGATTATGCTCAAGATTAACTGTGGTTAACATATATGTCCTATTCTTTTGTAGAGTACCTCGTACCCTTGCTTTGCAACCAATTTTTGCGGACAAAGATGGCTCCAAAGAGTTCACTTCTGATTTCTTTTTTCTCTCCCCCGCTCGAGAACATTCAATTGCAAAGTTTTTTAATTCGCCATCATCTCCAAAATGTTGTGCTCAATGAGCTATAGAAAAGCCAACATGCTTAGCATATGTGGCATAAAATGTGTACACTTCTTCCCTTGAGCTAAAACACATACCCTTGTTAGGTTCTTCAACTTGTTCACCCTCATTTATTGAAGGATTGTCACCACCATTTGAATCAACCTCCATTCTATGAGAATCAAAAATAAAATTCAAATAGAATAATTTTAGAATAATTATGAAACTGTTATGTTGAACTTTGCATTGTGATAATTTAAATTTATGGTATAACTAAATTATAGCAACTTCAATTTCAACCTCAACCTCAACCTCAACCTCAACCTCACATAGTCATGGTATATGTGATTTTGAAACTGTTAACTTCAATTTCAAACTTTGAAACTATCATGTTCAACTTCAACCTCACATAGTCATGGTATATCACAGAACACATATTAAACACTGTTAAAAAAAAACCATACAGATGATTGTACTGTTATCACATATTATCACAGAGATTGATCAATGTCAACTTCAACATATTATCACAGAGAAAAATCAATGTCAACTTCAACATATTATCACAGAACACACATATCATAGAGATTGATCAATGTCAACTTCAAAAACCATACAGAACACATATTATCACAGAACACATATCAACTTCAACCTCATTGTTATGTTAAAATGTTCATAATATAGACATTTCAACATCTTTTTAACAATCCACATCCAGTTATCTTATTCAGCTGCTTGGCTTAGTCATCTTATTCAACTGCTTGGCTTAGTCAGTTAAGTTTGTCAATTTCTCAAAAACTAAATAACAAAACACATAAGATTTTGGTGACCTCTTTGGTATCCTTTCTAAAATCTGTTTCCTATGTAGAGAATTTAAAATGTGAAAACAAACAGAAAATTGTTCGGAAATCATTTTTCAAGAAATCAAAATCATTTTTCAAGAAATCATTGATTCAAGAAATCATTTTTCAAGACCTCTTTTGTACAAAGCCCTGATTCAATAAATCATTTGTACAGTTTTCAAAAGCTCACACCTAGTACCGAACATTGAAGAACCCCCTGTATGTAGATCATTTGTACAGAATATTCAATAAATCATTTGTACAGACATTTCAGATTGATCAATGTATGTAGATAGAGAGAGGGGAGAATGAGGGGTTTTTGAATAATATTACCTGACAAAATGTGAAGAACCCCCTTCAAAAGAATGTGATCGAAGATCCGTAGAGCGAGATACAGAGAGTTATGGCCGGAGAGCTATGGCCATCGACGGAGGAGAGCTATAGCGGAAGCACGATAGAAGAGGGAAGAGGGAAGACGGACAGGGCCGTCGACGTTGTGGTAGCTTCCCCCTTTTTTTTTTTGTCTTGTTTTCAACCTATATTTTTTTTGTTTTTTTTTTTTTGGTCTTAGAGGTGTGTGTATCACACCTTCCTCATTATGCAATTGTTCTTCACATTACTTCAACAGCTGCCTCCTCACAGGGAGTCGTGGGCATTGGTTTTGAAGGGGGTTCGTATCGCAACTGTTAAAATCTAATACCCGAATCACTTTAATAATGTGATTAGTCTCACATCAATAGATTTAAAATGTTTTTGTAAAAAAATCTAAATAGATCTCGCAACTAGGCAATTTGCTTGTCATTTATTATATTAAAAAAAATTATATAATTTGACTGTCATTTTAAATTGATCCTCATTATTCTTTTTGGGTCATCTTCTTTTAAAGTCTCTCTTCATTACATAATCAAATAGACAAGTGATTAATTTAAGACCGCAACATGAGGTTTTTGGACAAATGATCTAATTTTCGAAGTTAACGAGTGAAATGTATATTATGAGTTTAAATCTCAAGAGATAGATCAACGGTTAAATATTTTATTTATTTGTTATACTAATATAAATGTGGAAGATAATATAAACGTAAGAGATCTACTATTTAAATCGTTGTCGTCTTCTTTCAAATCTCTCTCCATCACACAAGCAAACGAAAAAGATCTATTATAGACCGTAGCGAGAGGTTCTAGAGAAAATATTCAATTTTCTTATTTGATGAGTGAATTGTAAGTTATGGATTTAAACCTTGAGAGCTAGATGAATGATTAAGGTTGTGTGTGGTAGAATTTTTTAAATATGACTTAATAATGAAGTTGTATTTTGAATTTGTGAGTTTTGAAATTATGATTTGAATGTGAAAAATTTATTTGATTATGAGTTTTGAAAAAAAAATTGAATTGAGTTTTGGAGGGAGTTTTGAGTTTTTGAAATTAGAAAAATTATTTGATTCAAAAGCTTACAACTCATAATTAAATACACAACCAAAAATTCTATTTAAAGTTCATAAAAAAAATTTAAAAATTCAGAAAATATTTTTTATTTAATACATAAAAAATAACAAGTGTCAATTACAAAAAAAAAAAGAATTACACTGTTCCGATCCAGGCGACCGGGTAAGTCAAATTTCAAAATTTAAATCCCGCCTAAAACTAGTTTTTAAAAGTGATTTTAAATTAATTTTTAAAATTTATATCCAAAAATCGTACTCAAATGGAGAGGTGAAATCATGATTTGAGAACCTTAGGTTGCGTTTGGTACAGTTTTGTAAATATGATTTGAGAGTATGAGTTGTATTTTGAGTTTGTGAGTTGTAAAATTATGATTTAAGTGTAAAAAATTTGTTTGGTTATGGTTTTTGAATAGAGTGTTGAATTGAGTTTTGAATTGAGTGTGGAATTGAGTTTTGAAAGTTTGATTTGACATGTGAAATAAGAAAATTTGTTTGGTTATGAGTTTTGGAAAGAGTTTTTAAAACTTAATTCAAATTGTTATAACTCGTAACAAAACACACTACGTTCACACTATTAAAAATTCTGATCAACACTCATGACCAAACTCTTTTTAAAATTCAATTAAAAAAATTATTATTAACAGAAAATAATATTAATCAATTTTTTAACTAAAAATACTACAAAGGAAATAATTTTTTTCAAAATAGATATTCAAAAAATTTAAATCATAAATATTTAAATAATTTAAATAATCTAAAAAATTTAATAAGTAAAAAATTAAAATAAATATTCAAAAAATTTAAATCGTAAAAATTTAAATAATTTAAATATTCAAAAATTTTAAATAATTTAAAATGTTAATATTTTAAATTTAAAAAGAACTTTACACTTAAATCGTAACCAAACACATAAAATAAAACTCAATTAAGAAATTAATTTTAAAATTCATAACCAAACATATAAATCGAAATTTCATACTACTTTTACAACTCTACACTCAAATTGTAACCAAATACATAACAAAAAAATTAAAATATTTAAAAATATTTTTATAAAATAGAGTTTGAATTTATTTTATAAAATATTTTAAATTTTAAAAAATTAAAATCGTAATATTTTGAAATTAAAATATTTAAAAATATTCAAAAAATTAAAAAATTAAAAAATCATAACATATTTAAATATTAAAATCTTAACAAAATTAAAATATTTTTAAAATATTTAAATATTTAAAATATTTAAAAAATTAAAATATTGGTTTGAATTGAGTTTTGAAAAGAGTTTTGAATTATGTGTTTGGTTATGAGTTTTGAAAAGTAATGTTTATGTTTTGAAT